AGAAGAGGGGAAGGTTGAGCCTATTGGCCAAATTTGACTCTGTTTTGCTTCAAACCTTCTGAAAAGCAATTTTCCAGAGGATTTACTATGTGTCAGAAAGCGACATTTATCTCCCATGCGATGCCCTTCCTTAATTTTCCAACATCTTCCTTCCCTTAAAGCTGCCACCCACCGTTGCAGGATGCCAAGGCATGTTGTGATGTCTGCAATAACATCTCTACCCTCCTGGCAGAAGAATCGGAGGAAGCCAAGCTGTGGCAACAAACAGAACTCCTGCTATGAAAGCAATGGACACGGGAGAGGGCATATGATGGGCAGGCTGGAGAGCATCTGTATTTTTTTCTGTCTAGCACAAAGGCATCAAGGTATTCAGCAGAGAAAACCATGTTGACTTCACGCTCATGCACGGCTGGGATAGCTGACAGCCAGAAAGTCAGCAAGGGGAGGGAAAAGCTGTCACAGATGGACACGGATGATCAAAATCGGACAGTAATTCCAAGAGTAGCAAAGGTGACACACTGAAGTGTAATGTCCTGGAAAGAGGCCTTCTGTCTGCCTAGTGGGGGTTTCTCAAGGTGTTTCTTTGTCCCCCACCACCATAGCACCTGAGTGACATCAGAAAATATGGAGAATAGAGAAATTTCTGGAGCTCAAGGGGGAAATCTAAGATATTTGCATTCATTACCAGTTTCCTTTACCATAAAAAATATACTCGGGCATGTGAATAATTTCAGAAAAGACCCATTCCCTTGCAGAAGTAGAGAGCTTTTGATGGGAACAAAGAGACCCTCTCATCTCAAACCTGCCCAGATTTGCACAGATCAAGGCCAGACAATGCTTGCACATCCCCATTAAGGGACCTTAGAGAACCAAGCAGGTCTCTTGGACAAGGAAGTGGTAATGACTAGTGGCAACCCACATTTTTCTGCTGTAGGATACTGGTGCCTTCAACTGTAGGGCCTGGAGGAATGTTGGTAGGATGAGCATCACACTCACAAAAAGAAAGATATCAATAAAGTTTTTTTTTCTTTTCTTTTTATCTTTTTTCCCCTTTTTCTTCTTTCTTTTCTGTATAGAATTTTTAACTATTAATGAGGATTTTCTGTACTAATTTGGACCATAGCTGTCTAACTGAAACTGGACTAATAATTTGGACTATTATTAGATTGTTAAAACATTAATTAGGCAAGCTATTTTTGCTCATAGCAAGATTTTTAAAGGAAATGGAAAGAACAACTTGGTGTGCTCGGGACAGCAGTGAAGAGCTGAGAGGCTGAATATGGGCAAGGACAATGGAGAGATGCAGCAAAGGGGACCAGGGCTTGAGGAATTTAAGGGCAAAGGAGAACTCCTCGCATGAGCTTACCATGAAGTAGTAGAGCTGTGAAGACCTGGCCATGAACTCTGGTTTGCACTCGGCCACACAGATTTCCACGAATCCAGCATGCTGGCTGGGCTTGGCCTCCCCCATCTCACATACTATCCTGTGGAGAAAATACAAACCAGAAGTAAGGTTTAAGTGGTGGTTTGAAGGTCTAGGTAAGATGGAATTGGAGAAAACAACCCACACGGATGGGAAATGAACTGTAGACTTAACCATTCCTCTTCCTTCCCATCCAGGATCCAAATTGTGGACTGAGTTATTTTTTAAAGAGTGGTGGCTGTTGGAACTTGGTGGGGCAAATCCTCAGCTGGTGTAAATCAACAGAACTTCACTTCAATATAGAGTGAAATTCTGGGCTGAGGTCTGACCCCCCCTGGGTCCCTCTGTCCTCCCTCTGTCCAGCTTGCATGATGGACAGCTTTGCAGCTGCAAGGCTTAACGATCACTCCCACATGGGATAAGCTGTTTCTTGGGACTGCTGCCCCACAAACTGGAATTTAACACCCGTCTGGTGGCTGTTATGTGAAAGATGGAAGGTAACTTTAGGGTATACACCACAAGGATTACCTAAATATGCAACCAAAATATAATAATAAATTTATTATTAGCTCTTGAGTCATAAGTGAGGAATGCCATCTTCCACTCCTAACTTCCATAGTTGAGTGGAATGGACTCTTTAGAAGACCCCACAGGCAACAATGACTGTTATGAGGTGTGCTGTGGCCCGCTGTCTGCCACACACCCAACTTACTGCTCTGCTGGGATGTACCCTTCCACCAGCGGTTTGCATTCCACCCCAGCTACTTTGACGTGAGATGCAATATCTCTGAACTCCAACCCAAGATTCTCCCCACGGATGGTCACTTTGGTTCCTCCTTCACGAGGGCCTGTCACTGGATTAATCTGCAGAAACAAGTCAAGAAAAAGGAGAATAATTAAAACACCTATGTAAAGATGTCAGCATCCTCTCAGGTGAAAGAAGAGGCACACCAAGTCTCTTTGTGACCACTACAGACACTCATAATTATGGATGCTGAACAACTGAAGGAACAAACCTACTCCAGATACATCACTAGGACCAGCTCCTTGCAAATATATTATATCATACATGCTCCAACCTCAGACTATCAAAAAATTCTGCTGCAGTTCTCTTTTACTCTTTTGACTACTTAAAAAACATCTAGAGATGAGTAGAAGAGGTCTTCTAGGTAGGAGCAGGGGTTTCTGGTGGTGCAATTGAGCTCTGCACTTTATTGACATGAGCCATGGGAAGGCAGGAGTGGGATATGATGGGAAGAAATGGGAGAAAGAGCAAGAAAAGGACACAAATGGCTTCAACCAGTTACTTTAAATCCTAATTCTGCACCGCATCCATCACCCTTGTTCAGAGCCAGGTGGAAATTAGCAATGGAGTTGTCTCCTCAACATTGAAACCACACAGGAATTATGGGGCTGGTCCTTAATTATCTCAGTTCTGCCTTTCCCATTACTCAGCATTCCCAAATGCTTTGCCATACAACTGGCTAGCTGAAAGGGACTTCAAACATTGCTTTCAAAGGGTATTCCCTGCTGCCCATTCAGGATGCCATAGCTGCCATCTGCCAGCGTTGGCAAGGCTCTCCCTGCAGTGAGGAAGGGGGAATTCCCTGTCTGAGGTCCTTACCCGCTGGCCAATGGCTCTGCCAACTGGGAATCTAGGCCTGGCAGATAGACCTTTATGTAGCAGTGGGACTGGCAGGGAAAGTCGAGGCACTGGCACAAGCAGGGTTGCTCTTGACTGCTTCCCAGCACTCAGTCTGGCACCAGGGCTAGCCTAATTTCCACCCAGAGTCCAATTTTTAGGAGGTCAATCTTTGATAAAAGGATAGAGACCTTGGCACCTTTAGGGATATTTTATTTTACGATATTTAATTTTAGACGCCATGAACCACCTCCTGAATGAGTGTGTCTTTGCTTTGACTATACAGAGAACCAACAGAGGTTCACACATTCACAGCACAGATGATCACAGACATGAGCTTGGACCTGTAGGGTTGTGTAGTGTAGACACAACCTCTGCAGCAATCTGGTCTCAAGTCTAAAAAAACAGACCAATATCACTTGAGCCAACAAAATCAGAACCATGGCAGGCTTATTCCTACTCCAAAAGTCAACAAGATACTTAAGTTCTAAAAAGAAAATAGCAGAACATTCATAAATCTGTCATGTGAAATGATTATTTGGGTTGGCTGGAGATTTGACCTTTGGATGGTCTGTGGTGATAAGATTGATGGACAAGTAGAAAACAGATAAAAAGAGAAAGTAAAAGAGAAGTATGTGTGGTTATTTTCCAAAAATGAGGAAAGTGTCATAAAAAATGAGAATGAAAATTAAATTTCTATTTCAAGAGAAACTAACACTGATTGTCTCAGTTGGAGACTCAACATTGAAAATTGAACTGTTTTCCAAAAACGGCAATTCCAAAATATTTTTATTCTGAATCATTAACAAATATCTATCCAAGTAGAGTTTTCTCTTTGAAATACTTATTTTGCTGACGTCAGTTAATCCTCTCCTGATAAAACACTTTATAAGAATGATGCTGGAAGGCTAGAAAATATCACCATAACAAATGCAATTCAATATGTACTCAAAATGAAAATAGAAAGATAAATTAGAATTCCCATATTTTATTTCCTCATGTGTTAGAAACACTTTATAAAAGAACTGAGTTCCCCAGGGAATATTTTGATTTGTTTTCTGGTATTAAATTTGCCATCGAATGGTTTTTACTTGTTCTAGTAAGGTAGGTATCTAGTAAGGTAGGTCTGTGGTTAATTAAGGCTCACCTATGCTTGAAAGAGCTTGCTAGCTTGGGCAATACATCTCATAGCAGGTCAAAAGAGGATTTTTTTCATCACATGACTAATGTCATTACCCTGAATAAAAGAAAGTGTAGTGGTGAAAACAAATATCTTGCTAGTAAAGTCCTTTTCTTTAAAACTAGGGATGAGTTTGAGACACTTCTGAGTTTCACTGCAGAAGACACAAAAAAAAAATCAAAACAAACCAACACTTCAGTGGAAACATTCTTCTTTTCCTTCCATCTCTGTCTAAAGCAAGAGATTTTTAAAAAATTCTTAAAAAAACATCAACAGGAAACTTCTCAGAGTGAAGCCAGCACAGCACCTCTGAACCCCTCTCTCTGCCATTTTTGATATGTAAAGTCCAGCTTCAAACCCACTTATTAATGACTTTAAACTGGAAAAGGGCAGGTTTAGATTAGACATTAGGAAGAAGTTATTTCCTGTGAGGGTGGTGAGACATTGGAACAGGTTGCCCAGAGAAGCTGTGGCCACTCCTCCCTGGAAGTGTTGAAGACCAGGTTGGATGAGGCTTTGAGCAACCTGGTCTAGTGGAAGGTGTCCCTGCTGATGGCAGGGAGCTTGGAACTGTATGATCTTTAAGGTCCCTTCAAACTCAAACCATTCTGTGATTGATTCCTTAAAACAGAAGGGTGTGGGATTCTCCCAGGAGCATGTGGAAGAATTTTTTAACCCCAGCTCATGGCACTCACACAGATGCGTACAAGAAGAAGGCGTTACCGCGCTGTTTTCACAGTGAGAGAGAGAAGGAGCTTGTTTCTATCACAGGTGCAAAATTGTGGAACGAGACCTATCAGTTTTGGAGAGGAAAATGCAGGCAGGGAAATAAAAGCTGCCAGGAAGCCTCATCTCTCTCTTGAAGACTCAGAGCTGTGACACTGCATCACAATTTATACCCCTTGCTCGTATCAGCCTAATACTGCAGCTTGTCACTCTTAAAGGAGGTTTTGTGGCTCAGCGAGTCTGTAAGTCCTTTAATGTCACTGAGTGGCAATATAAATGCAGGAGCTAGTAAGTAAGTACAGGTTATGGGATGTTCTGTGCAGAGTGCATGTGTGTGCCTGTGCACGTGTGAGTACACGCATTGTTTCTCCTCCTTTGTCTGCACAGATCCTGCCGTGGCTCCTTGCCCAAATACACATGTTCTTACCAACCACTCCAGACCTACTATTAGCTGCAATCTATATCCAGTCACTTGAGATTACTTCCATGCTAATGGCTCAGAAAAAGACTTTCCAAGAGCTACTTATGATTGCATCAGACAGTTAGAATATTTCATGAGTGAATATTGCAATGATCTGTTTGAGCTTTGGGAGCTGTTGGAGGAAATGCCAGCAGAATTAGAAGTATGTTCCTTCTGGAGCTGTAGGGTCGAGAGTGATTGCTTTGCACTTCATAAAGAGACTGTAGATGCAGGGTTAGGGTCAAAACACAGCAGAGAACTGTGGATGGACCTTCAGAACATCATACTACTGCATGGTCAGGTACTTGTGTTTTGGACTTCATAGAATTGTTTCATTGGAAAAGACTTTAAAAACCATCGAGTCCAACCATACCTGTCCTCTATTAAACCATATCTCTGAGCACCTCATCTACCCGTCTTTTAAATACCTCCAGGGATGATTACTCAACTACCTCCCTGGTCAGTCTGTTCCATTGCCTGATAACCCTTTCAGTGAATAAAACTTTCCTTACACCAAATTTGTACCTCCCTTGGCACAACTTGAGGCCATTTCCTCTCATTCTATCACTTGTTACCTGGGAGAAAAGACAAAGGTAATTGTAGAGGGAGAGAAAGTCTTGAATTTATAAACTTTCCCAGGGTTTGAGAATCTGAAATGATTCAAAAAAGGTTTCCCCCAGCTTCCAATAATTTTCAAGGCTTCAAACCTGAACTTTCAGATATAGCTGCTCATTCTGGCTGTCTGGGTTTGGTTTCACAGCTTCAGGTGTTTCAGGTGGGCTCAAAATTACCAGTCCCAGGTAAATCCAAGTGCGGTGGAGACCTCCACCTTGGAAACATGAGAATGAGCTTGGCACTCCAGCAGTCCAACTGAATTGAGTACTTTGGGGACTGATGAATGACAAGAAGATGGCACGAAACACAGATGGCATCTAGGTAAAAGAGATTCTCCCCAGCCTTTGCTTTCACAAAACTTTCACACATGGACATTGGTTTAGGGCTTGTCCATAACACCTGCACTTTTTAATTTTTAACCAAATACAACTGAAAAAGAATTTCTTGCTTTCTAGGAAAATAACCCACCTATTTATTCATATTAAACCACAACCATTGAGGCTGGATTTGCCTCTTTTGTATTTCCTCTTCTCAGGGGACATTTAGATTGGCCATGAGGAAAAGGTTCTTCACCCAGAGTGTGGTGGAGCACTGGAACAAGCTCCCCAGGGAGGCGCTCATGGCACCAAGCCTGACAAGATTCCAGAAGCATTTGGACAACACCCTCCGACACATGGTCTGAATCTTGCAACTATCCAATACTAGGGCAAGAGTTGGACTCAACAATCCTTGTGGCTCCCTTCAAACTCACAACATTCTATGATTATGATTCTATGATTCTATGATTCTCTGTTGCATTTTTCTCCTTACTTTTCTCATTTGCAAAATAAAGCCCTAACCACCAAGAAAGGTACTCATGTTAACTAAGGCATGGTGACTAAGAAGTGCTTAAGGCAGAAAGCAGTCAGTAAGGATGGAACCCTCGTTTTCAAGGCTAGATCTGTCTGGCTGCTTGCCCTGTCACCCTGAAAATGATGCCCATCATTATGGCAAAGGTGACCTAGGAGAGTAGAAAAAAATCACTTTAGACTCGAGGCGTGATTTCATAGAATCAGAGAATAGTTTAGGTTGGAAAAGAAGTTTAAGATCATCGAGCCCAACCATAAACCTAACACTGTCAAGTCCACCACTAAACCATGTCCCTGAGTGCTCCATCTACACATCTTTTAAATACCTCCAGGGATAATGACTCAACCACTTCTTTGGGCAGCCCATTCCAATACTTGACAATCCTTTTGGTGAAGAAATTTTTCCCATCCTTGCCTTCTTTCCCTTCCTCTGTTCCTTCACTTTATGTTTTTTCTATTGTCTTATCTCCCCTTTGTACCTTTGCCCTAGCTCTTCTTTTGGCCCAGTCAACACATTCAATAGCAAACCTCCTAAAGAACACTTTTATGCTGCAGATCCTTCCCCTCAACCATGCCTTCATTCTCTCTTTATCACTTAATGGGATAGTTCCAAGCTCCATTCAGTCCAGGCATGATCCTGTCTCCTCCTTGATCCTTTGAAGGGGGAAAGCTGACAACTCCACAGGGCTTTGTTTGCATTATGGGGACTTAATTGACCATGAAAAGTCAGCTAGGCAAATAGAAGAACATTACTCTGCTGAGGTCGATGGAGTCTTGTTTTTTCTAGACATTGACCATGTCATGCTGCTGGGAAGCATAAACTTCAGCCTGCCCTCTTCCTTGACCTTCTGTCAGCAAAGCTCAAAACACTCTGGGATCATTGAACGTCTCCATCTCAAACAGGCTGGTTTCAAGAGACAGTTGGGCCCATTTGATTACCCTCACACAGTCCATTTGAGATGCCCCAGAGCATCTTGTCTCACCTTCAGCTGCTCCTAAAGGCTTCATGTGCTATCTGACAGCCCTTTGAGGGCAGGTCAGATGTTCTGAGTTTCCTCAGATTGCACTAGCAGACTGTGTTTGCGCAACTGATTCATGTCTACATTGACTATGGTGGGAACTCTGACACTGTTCTCAACCCTGTGTTGTAGACACCTGAAGTCGTGGGCCTACCTTTGAAGGCTACCATGTCCTCCCATCCCCAAGGTTGCCTGGGGCTTTGCCTGACCCAGCAGAGCTCAACTCTGACCTTCCCCTCACCAACCCAACAACAAATCAGGAAAAAACCAAACAAGAAAAGAGTACAAGAGGGAATATCCCAGTTTCTTGCAGATCCATGACTTACATCTGTGATCTTGGGGTTGGTGCATTTGCCCTTCGTGCTGGACAACTCCAGCCACTGGCTATCCTGGGCTGGGCAGTGCTGCTTCAGCGTGCACTGGTTCTGCCCCTCACACCAGCCACATTCAAAGTCCGGGTCGGCTTTCAGGCAGAGTCCACAGCTGTCCCGCATGGCCCCACACTTGTAGAGGTGAACTGTGAGGACAAGAAAGGAGAGAGGACCTGAGAAATGGAGACAGCATTGGAGAGTGGTGGGATGTCAGAGGGCAGAATGAGGAGCAAGAGAGGGGAAGGTGTTCTGGGGTGCTTGTCCTAGAGGCAGGATTGGACCTCACCAAGAGGAGTAAATAATTGGGGGAAAAAGTGTTTACATCTTTCTTGAAATAAACTGCACTTGTCAGAGTTCATCCCCCATGAAAGATATTTTGGAAGCTGAGAGTAGAAAGAAGGATGCTGCCTTCAGTAGGGTGTGGGGCTACAAGCAGGAGGTTGGGGGAAAGGTGCTTGGGCAGTGACTTGACCTCAGTCCCTTCCTTTTTCAGAGACTGTCTGAATGTCACCCAGTACCATGAAAAACATCCCCAGCCTCAGGTCTTCACCTTAAAATGATTTTGTAGACCAGGTCTACCCACATCTTAAAGGAGGATTTTTCTCTTGTGAAGCTACTCGGAACTGGGTGCTAAGATGATGCCACTCAGATTTCTCCCTTAACAGAAATCCTTGGAGATAACAGTAAATCCACAATGGTTCACTATGAAGCTGAATCCAGGGATTCACAATCAGCTTTTCCCTCTTCTTCTGCTCTAGAAATTCCGTCTAGTTTACAATTCGAAATACTTTGTTGATCCTCCTCTAATACAGACAGAAATGATTAATGCTTAGCTCCATCCTGGGCTGCTAAGTGATCAGGAGCAGTCAAAGCTTTTTCCAAATAAAGCCTAAAAACTTTTCAGTCTTCCTAGGAAATAGGAACATGTTATTTATCCTTATTTTATACATACGTAATCTGAGGCCTGGGTTGCACAAGAGGCTGATAGCAAAAGTTTCCATCCTGAAGGTTAAGAATGCAGAATCTAGGCTTCCAGACTTGCTATTTGTGGGCATGTTAGTGGATTTCTTTATAAGATAGGAGATTTTCCCTTTGTACTTCTGTTTTGCTGTGTCAGTAGGTGACTGAAGTCTTGTCTGTGGTTTACTATACACAATCCAAAGCTCAAAGGCTTTGGATATGTGTGCAGAAAAGCTCTGTCTTTCTCTTTTTACCTGCACTCCAGAAGTCAGCAAATGTTGACCAATGCAAGGAAAAGCTCAGAAACTTTTTATTTTTCCACATTGGGTGCAAGAAAAGTTTGCAAAACAGCTTTCTGTCTCAGTGTGCTACAGGTCTCCTGGGATACAGCCCTTTCCTTAATTTTTTGTTAGATTTCTTCAGATTTGCTGAATTACTCTGCTTGCGATGCTATCAGTGAGTATCTCTGCAGGCAATTCTGTAGACTTGGTTTAGTTTAGCCTTTCAACCTACCAGCCCAGCCTATGCAATGCTGGCTATGAAAGTAGTGACATCTTGTTACTTGAAGACAATGTACCCCAATGCACCTGCACTTAGAAAGACATTGAGTCTAATCCTGCCTCTCCTTCTCAGTTTTCCAGAGAAGAAGGTCTGCTTGTTTGTGCAAAGCCCTACCAGGGTTTTGTGTTTGCTTGTAGCTGCTACATTTATGTTGGTAAATAAAGCTCTCTATGTCCTTGAGAGCATGTGATATGCCTCCTTATGGTATATTCTTTTAGGAAGAAATTCTTTGCTGTGAGGGTGGTGAGACACTGGAACAGGTTGACCAGAGAAGCTGTGGCTGCTCCTCAATGGAAGTGTTGAAGGCCATGCTGGATGAGGTTTTGAGCAACCTGGTCTAGTGGAAGGTGTCCCTGCTGAGGGCAGGGGGGTTGGAACTAGATGACCTTTAAGGTCCCCTCCAACCCAAACCATTCTGTGATTCTATAATTCTATATCCATGTGCACATGCCTAAGCTCTCCTCCTGACCCAAAAGATAATTATATCATCCAAACTACTTATTTGGTTTAGCCACTGACCAGTAACACTTCCCAAATTTTTCCTAGTCATTACTTATAACATTTTGGATTTGAATAACCCAAGAACTTGTAAGGAACTAAGCACCACAGATGTGCCTTGAGTTCATCCCCTGGTCTGGTACATGTTACCAACACAGACATGCCTAAACACACAATCACCATGATTATAAGATTGATTTTACTCCTACCTCAGCTAAGATAGCTCAGTACTGCCCAAAAAAGGGTTCACACTCTTGGTGAGGATGATGTTGCATCAGGAATGCTCAGGTTATAATGGGCAGCAGAAAAGTAAGTAAGATTGGGGCTAGTGCCCAAACCCAGACCTCCAGCCCAAACTGTTAAAGGCTAGCACAGTCCATGACACTGTTTGGGCCCAAGAAAATTAGCACTGTCTTGGCAACGCCTTGGTACAACTTGGAGAGCAGGAGAGAGGGCAAAAAGCTTCAGCCTAGAGAGAGGTTGACAGTGTGAACGTGGGCTGCGTCATGCTGCTGGATGCCAGGGCTAGACAAGGGTCTCCAGCCTGTTGTGTTTACTGAGCAGATTTAACTTTCAAGAGCCACAGTTTTGGGGAGGACAGTGCAGGACCTTTTGAGTTCACACTAACTGTTTGAACCTACTGGCTATTCAAGCCAGCAGCGAAAGACATCACAGAGTTGGGTACAGGGGGACAAGGACAGGAAGGGATCTTGCCATTGGGAGAAACGATACCTTCTGTACTGCTCTCCAGTTTCAATGTGGTTTTCGTGGAAACCTCACCCACCACTCCTCAGCATGAAAATGGGTATGAAAAGGTTTGAGAGGAGCATGGGAGTACCTAATGGGGAGAGATGGAGTAGGGGAAGATGTGGAAAGTGTCCAAGAAAAGAAGGTAAAGCGAAGGAGGGAGAAACTTCTGAGAGGTGATGACGTGAGGAGAGTGTCTGCAAATCTGAGCTGTAAATGCAGAGCAATCAAGAGGAGAAGTTGCCTGGGAAAAAGGCCTTAGGGTGGCTGAGGGTGATGGACAAGAAGGAAGAAGATGTGAATGGACTGTCCATCTCCAGCAAAAGTTCTTGCCTCAAGGCCTCATGGCTGGGCCTTGTATGTCTTGCTGTGAGGGGCACATCAAACCTGTGCCATGGTGGTAGTTAAACGGAGCCAGGCTCTGGGCAGGAGGTGGCTTTCTGTCCTTTGCCATCATCATTTTATTTTGTTTAGACTTTTCCCGTGGCAAGCTGCGGCCTTTCTCCTCCCCCTCTCCCTTCCCCTGTTCATTACAACATTGCCTCTGAGCAGAGAGCACCTGATCTCCTGGTATGTTAACTTGAAGAGCATCACTGCCAGAGAAATAAAGAGGGAGAGAAAGCTGGAGAAGGAGGGGCATAAAAACAAGACACAAAAATGTGGGGAG